CACGCAAATTTCAGCACTGCATTGCTCAACGCTGCAAACACCTGTTATAGCCTAAATAGAAACTCTGCATACACTTGCACCTGTTAATCGTTTATATTTTATATTCGTTCATGTTGCTTTTGTGCAATAGATGAATAACAAGTTATTTGTTTTAGGTATTTTATGTTTAGATATTTCTATTTTGCGGGAGTCCCGTGAATCATTTTATTTTCCCACATCCCGCACACACACACGAGTGTCTACCCTCCCGCAGCAGCACTCGCCCATCTTGTCCCGCGCCGCACTCTGTTGCATCGGGTCTCGTGGGAGCAGGTCTCTAATCCACTGGCACTTGACTCGACAGTGCGTGTGCTACATCCTTTTTACAATCTCTAGATTAGAAAACACTGCATTCTGTCAGTAACTCGGCAGTAACGTAGAGACCTTGGCTTGTAACTATACTCTAATTACTATTTTGAAAATTATAACGCGTTAAATTACTCCGTTACAAAAAAAGTTATGAAATTACAGTAACGCGTTACTAAGTAATGCATTACTGCCCAACACTGACTAAAATACACTAAAACTAAACCAAACTAACTTGTCTTTTGGGACTAGTGTACATTTTTTATTAATTTGCTATAAATAAATGATAAAAGCTTGTTACTATGAGATAAAAATAAAGGAAATTGTGACTTTTTTCACAATTCTGACTTTTTTCTTGACATTATACAATGTAATATAATTTCAGAATTCTGAGATAATAACAGAATTGCGAGAACAAGAGTCACATATCGTGAGATAAAAAAGGCACAATTACCTTTTCTATGGTGGAAACAGGCTTCCAAAAGAAACAAACAAACAAACAACAATTTTGGATACAACTCTGTAATCAAACCTAACAGCATGTACATAAGTCATATTTCTCAATAATCATTATTATTCTTCCACCAGTCTCTCAAGTCTAGAGAAACATTTTGTTGATCCAACCCTGCAGGAAACCCCTGCAATTCACCTGACATTATAATCTGGTGTTGTTTATATGGGTCACTGGCCAGTTTTCAGCCAGGCTCTGGATCAAAGGGCAGTATCAGCTGCTCCTGGCACTGCCCAGCCAGGTGCCACACTCTTCCAGTTCACCAAAGGTCGCATTCTTGGCCAGCCTGAGGTGTGCCGCTTCTACTAACGGGCATCCACCCAATGCCAACTGCTGAGTCGGTATTGTCATATCACAGAGTCCAGGTGGCTCCACCTGCTTCTTATTGTGGTTTGGATGATTGTGAACAAGAGTTGTTTGTGTCCAACATCACACATGCGGTGTTATTCACCTGTTCACTTTCCATTAGCGTAAAACCAATTTACCAAAATGTAAAGATATGCAGAGCTAGGCTGTCAATATAAAGGCTGTTTGTGTCCAAACAGTGAGCTTACTGATATTGACAGATCAAGATAAATATCTGCCAAGCAAAGACATTATAATATAGTGTACTCACCTCGACAGTGGACTCCTTCGTCAAAACCATCCTCACAGTCTTTCACCCCATTACAGAGTTTGTTGAAGTGAATGCACTTTCTCGTCCCGATACACTGTATGTGATTTAGAGGACATCTGACTATCACCTCCACCTTACCTAAAGAACAGAAAAGAATGAGGTTTACATACAGGTCTGGTGTGATTTTAGTTAAAACATATCATCCACACAGTTTCACTGTATTGTCAGTAATTACTTTAATAACTGCTAAGACAGTTTTATGCAAATCTACGTGGTTCAGACAAATGTCACTTGCTTTAATTTGCTAAGCTTTGAGGGATGCAAATGAAAATGGGAAACAATCCAGTTGATTGAATTCAGCTTAAAATGCACTGCCAGCCTCAGAGTGATTTCATTTTGTGGCAAAAACTTTCCTTCAGCACCATCTCCTGTCGGTGGTTCTTTAGAGAAATGCTAAAAGATTGGTTAAAGGTTTCTCATTTACAATTCAGCCTTCCTCTTTCCTATCCTAATGAATGCTAATTTAATTAACAACTTAAAGCCAATACATCTCTTACTGTAAAAGTAAAGTTCTGCAATGCAATGAGGTTGCAGAAACCGTTTAAGCAAATAGGAATTTGTTTGAAAATAGAAATACTAACAATGTAGAAATGACTAATTATTACCTATGTATTACAAATCTGCAAGGACGGATTAAATTGATCAAAAGTGACAGTAAATCAGTGGTGGACAGTAACAGAGTAGCTTTACTTCGTTACTGTACTTATATTTTTCAAGTATCTGTACTTTACTGGAGTAGTTTTATTTTGAGTAACTTTTACTTCACTACACTCCAAAGCATAAGATTGTACTTTTTACTTCACTACATTTCATAAAACTTATCGTTACTCCTTATAATATATCACGTGCTCCGAGACGCAGAAGCGGTGTCTGATTCATGAATGAACTGATTCTTTTCAATGAACCCATTAAATCGGTTCGCAAATCGGTTCGCAAATCGCACCAAACGATTCATTCACGAATTGAAATGATCCGATTGCAGCTGTTCTCGAGTCGACAACTCACTGATTCAAATGATCCGTTTAGTGCGAGTCTCCAGTGAACTGAATTCACAAGTAACAACCGGGAGATTCCATTATTCATGAGTAAATACAGCAGCAAAACAATCGAGGGGCCCATATCACATGCATTGCTCTGTTAACGCAGTGCAGTGAGGGGCGTGACAAACTGTGATTATCCTAATAAAACTGCATTGTCAAATACAGAATCATTCCACTCACAAACTGATTGGGACTAATCTAATCAGATGAGAGGGAGAGATGAATATTCAGGAGTTTCAGATGCACCGTGCTGGATAACACAGATGGTGTCTGTGCAGTTGAGGGATGATAGGAAATTATTTATCTTCACCCTGTACTGAATTTGAAGCCAGATAGCACTCGCGGTGAAACATCCTCCATCATGAGAAAACTCATGAAAGTGGAGGCGGAAAACACATGCTTATCATACTTGCATGTAGGAGAACTGTCAAAAAAAAAAAAAGCATTAGAGACTGGATAACAGTCTGCAGTGAATATGTTATGTACATGTATGCCTTTGGCATTTTAACTTACATGTATGTTATAGAGAAAAGCGTTGTGTTTTTAAGAAACAAATCTATCATTAACTTTAAACCATCGCTTCGAGCCAAAGCACCAGTCCATAATCCATAATAACTCACCCTCCAGTGAAAAAGTCCATCTCCTGTTGTCCTCTCACATCAAAATCTACCAACATATTTGTGACCCTGGACCACAAAACCATAAGGGTCAATTTTTTTAAAATTGAGATTTATACATCACATGAAAGCTGAATAAATAAGCTTTCCATTGATGTATGGTTTGTTAGGATAGGACAATATTTGGTAGAGATACAACTATTTGAAAATCTGGAATCTGGGGGTGCAAAAAAATCGAAATATTGAGAAAATCACCTTTAAAATTGTCCAAATGAAGTCCTTAGCAATGCATATTACCAGTGCTTGAA